TAAAAACCCTAAAACATGCAAGTTCTGCAATTTGTTTCAAGCTTATATTACTATCAAATCTCTTGAAAGATTGATTAAATTCGATCTAAAAAAGCTAGGTTTTCTCCAATTTAATCTCTTTCTCATGCTATCTAGTGTTGAACACCTAGGTCAGAACTCAATTTAATTCGTAGCTTCTTGACAAGAGCTTAGGGAAATTTGTGAGAAGATGGACAAGAAGGGCTAAAGAAGACATAAATTACCATTGCAAAGAGCGAGAGACCATGATCCTAGAACTATGGAATTGAGCATAAGCACCTTAAAGTGCCAAAAGGAAGATATTAACTAAGTTAATCAACACTAATTCTTCAATTAGAAAACAAGGGGAAATTAATCAATACAAAACAAGTGGTCAAAACATAGCCGTAGAAATCCAAACCATCAAAGAAATTTAAAATCAAGATTGGGCGATGAATTTGTTGTTGAGTTGAAGCTAGGTCGTTATGGATCTATCGATGTTAAGGCTAGAGATATATCAAAGAGGGAGAAAGATAAGAGGACAAATTTGAGTAGTTATAGCCAAATCAAGCATGTACAACCAAAGTTCCATACCTAGACATGAACTTTGACCAAACTCGAAGAGAATGAACTTGAAGTTGTTACTTTTGAAATCAGGTGGCATAATCGAAAAGGTAAGGAGGCACATTGAAAACTGTGGAGAAAGAATGAGGTAAAGGTGAAAGCATGCCAATTTTGGTAAAAACCAAATCTAAAATAGATTTGTGTAGTGAGTTTTGTGGAAGGGAGGTAGGGGTGAAAAGATGCCAAAATTTGGTGAAACCTAAATCTAGAACAAACTTGTGTAGTGGGTGTTTTGTGGAAGGGAAGAGATATGGTAAAGAAGAAAGGCTTGAACCAACAAAAGAGGTTAAAAGTGAAGAAGAGAGAGAAACAATCAAACAATGAAGAATTTGCAAATGAGAGAAAGAAGGTGAACCAAATAAGACGAGAAATTGGGAAATGGATACTTTTGTAATTTCAAATATTATAAGTTATTAACTAATGAGAAAAGGGAAAATTAGGATGTTCTAACATT